AGCACTCCCAGGGCCCCTGCGCCTCTTCTCCAGCCATCTGGTCTCCCTCAGAGGGTCCCAACCCACTGCTTCTCGTGTTGCTCGCTCGGTTCCGTCAGCTGGACTGGCTGTCGAGGTTCCACTCAGTTTCCACCTTTCCTGCCAGGCCCATGCTTAGTCCCCAGGGCAGGGCCTCCTGTGCCCAAACTCCTTTAGGGATCTAACAGACGGCACGGCATGGCGCCAGCCCGTCGCCACCTCGGCCTTCCTGTGGCTTCACATGGATCTCGCCTTCCAGCGGAGCAGCCTCGTAGTAACGGGGAACTTCGGTGGGTGTTTAAGGGGCACCTTGACCTTGATCGGAGCTCTGGAGGCCTGCCTGGTAGATGAGTTTGTTTTCTGTTTCCCAGATCCTGGGCTGTGGCCCAGGACGGTGCCATCATTCTCTCTGCCAGTAAGTTATGAGGACTTGCAGCCTGGGGCCTGATGCTGGGCAGCTGTTAATCTCCTTCCGGACTCTGACCTCAGGGCTCTTTCCCTGTGGTTCCTAGATTCCCTGTGCCTCCCCCTCCTCCCCGGACTTCCTGCCTCCCTCTCTGGCTGGGGAGCCGGTCCCCAGCACCTTGCGTCCCACACCCACCCACCCCACCCCCAAGCTGGGCTGAGTGCCAGTTCCTCTGGTCAAAAACGTCTCCAAGGGTCTCCTGGGAAATTTCAAACTTCCTGAGGCGTGTTCTCCGCCCTTCTGGAACTGGTCCTCTATAGAGGCCATCTCCCTTCAGCCCCCATCTCCCTTCAGCCCCCTCCCCCAGTTAGGGGGAACACAGATGCCATCACAAGACAGCATTGCTTGTGCTGCTTAACTGTGTCCTAAGCACAAGCTAAATGCATCACCTGACTGTATCAGAGGGTCTTTTCTGAGGAAGGGGGGTCTTTCTCGTAAGGGCTTTGGGGGTTGGTGGGGGTGGGTGTTGCACGGGGGAGGTGAGCAGGCAGAGGTGCCAGCCCCTCTTCCTTCTCTGGCTGTTTCTGTCCTTGCAGACTGGAGGCCGGCGCTGAACCTCGCTGCCCTGGACTGTGCTGACGAGACCAACAGCGCAGTCTGCAGAGACTTCAACATCGCCGGCTTCCCGACCGTGAGGGTGCGTGACGGGGAGCGAGGAGCGGGCCTGGGGGCCGGGTGGGGGTGTGGAGGGGGAGCGGCTGCTAGCTCTGAGCTTCTCTGATGCTCCTGGTCTGTTTAAATCCCAGCCGCTGAGACACCTGTAAAAGGCAGAAAGGAATGTGAGTTAGGAGGCAGGAAAGAAAGAAGTTCACGTAGTCTGGCAAGTCCCCTTTATAAGGGAAGGGGGCTGTGTGGGGGGCGTGGGGGTGGGCAGATTTCAGCTGTGAAGACATTACCACCCCCTGGGCTGGTGAGAGCTCCCAGCCCCCAGGGGCCTCCTCCCAGTTCCTCTCCCTCCTGACTGCCTAGCTTTGGAGGTCTGATCTAACCCTAGAAAACCAGGGTTCAGGCGCTGACTCGTCTGTGGCAGGATCAGACTCAGGTGGCCCAATGGTCCCCCAGAGACATGGGCAAGCCTCATCTTCATCAGACAAGTGCCTTGAACCCCAGTAGCTCGGAAGTGACTTGTCAGGGCAGCCTCACCCCACGGTCACAATGCCAGAATGCCTTGGGTGGCAGGGATCTCCATCACGTCACAGGAGGCTGGTGGCACACCCAGCACACGGGGGCCCGGCACCGTCACCACAGCTCTGGCTCAGAGTAGCCAAGGCCTTGCCCACCAGCCAGCCACTAACGTCTGAACACCGTCCAGGGCTCTCATCGGGAGGCCTGAGAGCCCAGAGCAGCAAGGCTGTCCAGATCTACTTAGCACCCTCCCCAGGGCGCAGGCCGAGGCTGGAACCGAACCTCTGTCTCTCTAGCTCCAGCTCTAAATAGTCAGCCTCCTCCCACCGCAACGGCATCTAGAAAAGCAGTTTCCTCTAAAGCCACTAACAATCATCACAAAAGGACTCTGACCCCGGAACCAGCTATCTCTGCGCTCAGGGGCTTCGCGTTCCCAGCAGAACCGGGAGCCACAGCTCAGCCTAATTACTCCGTTCATCTGGGAAGCCAGGCCCAGGCTCCAGCCATGTCCAGCTCGGACTCCATGCGACCTTTCTGTTCCCCGGGGTTCAGGGTTTCCACGGCCATGGAGCTCTCTTCACGCTGCTGTGACCACTTAGGGTCAAGGCCGAGCCCCTGGTCACTGAGGCCAGGCTGGTCCGGGGAACAGCGTGGTGAGCCAGCAGCTCCGGCCCTGTCATTTAGAGGTGGCAGCAGAGAGATTGCTCGTAAATCATCCCTTTCCAGTTAAAAGACCTCCCTGGCAGGGCCATGCCCTCTCCTTGGCTCCAAGATATGTAACTGAAAATAGTGAAAATTGTTCCAAGGGAGAGGACGGGCCACTCTGTTCCCTGCTGAGCCAGGGTGCGCAGCCCTGTGGGAGCTGTGGGAGCCAGCGAGGCAGCAGGGAGTCCTCCCGGGATCGGGGTGTGGGGCCTCGACACAGGGAAAGGGCCTGGCCTTGGCACCGTGGCCAGGTCAAGACACCCTGTGGGGGTTCTGTGGGGCCTGGCTCGTGGGCTTTCTGTTTCTGCCTGGGAGAGGCTGGGCTCAGTGGGTGTGAAGGAGGCGGCCAGCCAGCCAGGACATCTAACAGCTCCTCGATGCCTACCCAGGTCACGCAGCGCACGCAGCCCGAATGCCTCGAGTGATTAATCATCTCCTTAACCGCCCAGCTGGCTGTGCCAGCCAAGGCCCTGACCTTCCCCTGCCTCCACGCGGGCAGCACCTGGGTGGCCAGGCCGGTAGTCACGTGCCCATTTCTCAAGAGCCCCGGAGGCAGTGGTGTGACCTCCCTGCCTCTCCCGAGGAGCCCGCAGGTCAGTTTCGGCAAGGAGAGCGCTCGGTGCCCCGAGCTTGGGGCTCTAGTTCAGGGCGCCCGTGGGTCGAGCTCCTGGCGGGTCTCTGCTCTAAGGCCCTGAGCAGAGGCGTCCAGACATTGCTCGTGTGACCTGCAGTGAGGGGTGCACATTAACCGAGACCCAGAGGTGGTTTCTGTTATCACAGAAACACATGTTTCATGAAACACTCTTCTAAGTGCTGTACACACTGATCCTTTCTGTTCTGTATGTTTTTATTTGTTATTGATTTCAAAGAGGAAAGGAGAGGCAGAGAGAGAGAGAAGCATCAGTGATGAGAGAGACTCATCAATTGGCTGCTTCCTGTATGCCCCCCATTGGGGATGGAGCCTGCAACTTGGGCATGTGCCCTGCCTGGGAATCGAACCGTGGTTCATGGTCGACACTCAACCACTGAGCCACACTGGCTGGGCTGTTCTGCTTATTTTTTTAAAAAATACTGTGACTCACTAAATTGACTTTACAACTGACGGCTAGTTTGCTTTCAGTGTTTGGAAAACACTACTCCAACGATTCCCGATCTGCAGAGATTCTGGCCAGTGAGAGCTCGGTGTGCCTGTGGGCAGCGTGTCTTTGTGCCCTAGAAAGAGGGGCAGACCCTAGCGGTCGGCCCAGCTGGCGAACGGCCAGAGATAGCCCGGTCGCCCTGTCTGCTGCCACCTGGGACTGGAGCTGTCCTTAATCCTACCCTCCAAGGCTGTGAGGGCACCAAGAGAAGGACACGGGTTGAAGAGGGGAAGAGCGAGTTCCTGATGGGATGGGGACAGGCCCACCCAAGAGTCCGGCCACCCCCAGTGACAGGTCGTTGTCCCATGTGTCATCGTCTCTTTCCTCTGCCTCCTGCCCTTTGTCACCATGAGCAAACTGAGCTTCCACCAGCCCAGCCTGTTTAGCAAACACCTGGCGCTGCCGGGCGGGCCCAGCAGACGGGAGCTGGAGCCCAGCTGGAAGAAAACAAAAGTGCAGGGAGGGACTGGTTCCCAGCAGGTTCTGGGTGGTGCTTGGCACCTGGACAGAGGCTGGGACTTCTGGGGGGAAAGGGCTTTGCCATGGGCGCAGGGCTGCCCCTCAGTACGTAATGGACCAGGACCCTTTGTGGCCAAAGGCCTGGTGGGATCAAGATGACAGGGACCAGCAGCACCGGGGTGGGAGAGGACAGAAGTCTCCCCTTTGCAAGATTCGAGGAGATAACAGACATGGCTCCATTGCTTACCATGTGTGACTTGGGAGTGCCCCCGCCACAGGTCTCGGTTTCCCTGTCGGTAAAAGTGGGATGATAATACCTACCTAATAGGTTGTTGCCAAGTGTGAAATGAGGTCTTCCGTGTGAAGGTGCTGGGACACTGTAGTGTTACTTGGTGTTCGCTAAACGCTGGCTGTCTTCCCTCCCGTTGCCCCTGGGCCTCGTGGTGGCTCCTCGGTGGGCACTGCACTGGAGGCGGTCTGCCCATCAGCAGCTGTTGCGTGAGTGTTTGCCGGGTGCACAGCACTGCGCTCACCGTTGTGGGAGAGGCCAGGCATGTGGACATGGCCAGGAACCCGAGAGGCCGGACACGAAGGTCCTGCCCACGGGGACACAGAGCTCACCATCAAGTTGCCAGGCAGTGGGTGGTCTGTGGGCAGCGAATGCTGGGGCTGTGCTGGCTCACTGAGCTCTTCCCCTCGAGTATCAGAGAGGGTTTCCTGCGAGAGGGGAGCTCTGCTTGGTGCGGAAGGACGGGTGGGGTCGGGCTAGGAGAGAGGAGTGTGGGCAGGGTGGGAGGGGAGGGCCAAGGCCCGTGTGGGAAGGATGTGGTGTGCTGAGAAGACTGGTCTGGCCGGAGCGGGGCTCCCGTGCAGGGCTGAGGTCATGCCAGGAAGCGGGGAGCCCAGTCGTGGCGGGTCCTTGCATTCAAGGCTGGGAGTGTGGACACCGGTCGGATGGAGTCTGGGCCGTTACCTTATGTGGCTCTTGCTAGAGGTGTGATGTCGGCAGGGACAGGACTCAGAAAGGTGTCACCTGCCCCTCTCGGGAAAAAGGAGAGGGGCCCTCACTCAGCAGTCACCTGCCCTTCCGCCATCTCCTCCACTAACTGTCCACAACAGAGGAATGGTTATGCTTGCAGAGCCTCTGGGCTCGCCTTAAGGTATTTGGGGACTCAGTTATATTTCTTAAAACGTGTTCTAAAAGCTTGGATTCCACGCAGTTGATGGTCACCCCTAGAAAGTGTGCTTTCTCCCCACCCTGTTTTGTCCTCAGAAGGCAGTTGCACCTGGTTAGGTTGGGAAAGGTCTGCCCGATGCCAGCTGGTCTCCAGGGCCAGCAGGTCTCCTGCCTTCGGGGAGATGCGGGGGTCTTCCAGGGGCTCCGAGGTTGAGGACCACAGACGCTCCCGTGTAAAGCGACGGAAGGAGAGGGGCCGGGTGCTCCTGGAGAAAAGAAAACTCGCCGCTGGAGCCCTAATTGCCTGTTTCCGCAGCGTGCGGTGGTTTCCCTTGGGCAGGGCACACGCCTCCCACAGCTGATTTAATAAGAGGGCAAAAATGTGCCCGGACTAGATTTTACTGAGACTTTTACATGAGCCTCCAAGGTGATCAAAGGGCAGAGATCCTCAGTTTAACTGAACAGATGTCTTCTGAGTAACTTCCATGTCCCGGACACTGTGCCCGCCCAATGGGGCTGGCAGAGATGAACTAGCCATTGGCAGTCCTGCCCCCCCCAGTCAGGAAGGTGGGCAGGCGGGTGGGTGGGAAGTTCAGGTTGAAATCCATTGAAGCTGAAGTGTAGGGAATGGGGGGCAGTGGGAGCTAAGTCTGGGGTCAGGTCCTGGAAGGTCTCGGATGTGGTGAGCTGGGCATGATCCATTGGCAGTGAGGAGTCGGGAGAGATTGGAGGGGTGACGCGCCAGACCAGAATTGTGCCTGAGGGGAGTTAGCGAAGTGGCAGAGGAAGATGGTTGGGGAATGAAAAGACTGAGCATGTTAAAACTTCAAAGGAAGTGAGGACCGGGACGGACTGTCACAGCAGGCCAGGAGCTCGGGGGCCGGCCCTGGTCCGGACAAGGCGGCTGGCCTAGAGGACTGTTGAGGAGGGTTCACGAAGGTCAAGTCCTCAGAACTTGTCAGCCGACTGGATGAGGGGTTGTGGGGGAGGGCAGTGCTGGGCTGGGCGACGCGAGGAGGACGGTCACTGGGTGAGGTAGGAACAGAGGTGGAGAAACAGGTTGGGGGAGGGGTGACTCAGTCTTAGAAAGGGGGGCGTTGCCCGACCCCTGTGTGGAGGGCACCAGGAAGAAGCAGAAGTCTAGGACCTGGAGGACCTGAGCAGAGGGGTCAGATTGTAAATCACTGAGACAAAGGAGATGACGTTGGCGAGGGGGACACTCAGGTTTGTTTGTTCCTTCACTCGTGGGTTCGTTCATTCATTCATTCAGGAGCGCAGGTAGAGCCCCTCGTTTGTGACGATGCCTCCCTGGGTTTGTAAACAGAAGAGCGTCTTAATCTGACCTGTGGCTGTGGGAGAGACGGTGGGCAGGGCATGGCGAGGGCTGCGGCCCCGGAGCGAAGTCAAGGGCGAGACTGGGACAAGGGCGAGGGGAAGGTCGTGAAGGTGGCCAAGAAGGCCTGGTCCGTGTCAGGCAAACGAGGGAGGGTGGTGACCTGAATGAAGGCAAAGGAGGAGAGTGTCAGGAAAAGGTGGCACAAAAATGGCAAACCCTGGCCATGGGGGAGGTAGGCAGCGATAGCTCTGACACTGCAGCGGGAGCAGGAAGGCCGCTGGACTGGCAGAGGTGGTCCAGTCCGCTGAGCGCACCACAGCGGCTGGTCCTGGGCACGAAGGGAGAAGGGAAGTGGGAGGAGCGAAGCGGATTCGGGCTGGAGCTTTGGCTGCAGGGGACCAGGCCGTGCGGAACTGGGGGAGGGAACTGGGGGAGGAAGGCAGGCCGCTCTCTGTTCCCATGCTCCTTCCCCTCCGGTCCTTTCTCTTTAAAAAAGCCCACAACAGCTTTGATTAGGAGGATCTGCATGCATCTGTTAGGCATAGGGGAGAAGCTGGCGGAAAAGGGGGAAAGAGGGAAGATTAATTAACAGGAAAAGTTCCTAAGGAGCTCAAGGTGACATTGTTCTAGGACTAGGTGGATGGGAGCGTCTGAGGACAGAAGGGAAGGGGCGGGGTGGGGGGGGGCGCGGAGCACAGAGGTGCCGGGAAGGCAGTGAGCCCTTCCCTGGAGTCCCTGCGTCCCCCTGGGTCACTCTCGCTAACCCCAGCTCCTGTCTGACTCCACGCCCGCCTGTGGCTGGGCCTTCAGAAGGTCCGGGAGGCTGCCTTTTGATGGAGGTAATGCCCGCCTCTTCTCATAAGCACCTGGTAACCTGCTGGTGGTGAGGAAGTTACTGTGCTACTTTGCCGCCACCGAAAATGCCAGCTGTAGCCCTGGGAAAGCCAGGGGTGTCAGGCTTCGCGGTGTCAGGAGTGTCTTCTGCCTGTGCAGCAAGCCGGGGTCTGGTCTGTCTGTACATAATGGGGTGCTGTCGCCATGGAAACCACAGCTGTAAGGATCAGCCTCGGGGTTCCTGTGTGTGACACCCGGACCACAGAGAGGTGCGTTTTGTGAGAGACCACGTCAGCCCTAAATGCCTGCACACGCTTTCCTATTTGCTCTCATGTCACAGTCCAAGACACTCGCGATCGTTTTTACCAGGGTCAGGCTAACGTGTGATTTTGTTAATTCCAAAGGTGTTCAGTCGCTGCAAAGAACTCCATGAGGAACACGGAGCTATGCGTGGCAGGTGGCAGTGGGTGGTTCTCACCCAGAGTGAAAGTTTCCATTCATTTTCTCACCTGGTGTTTAAGAGGCAGGAACAAGGGGAGGGATGATGATGACATTTCGTGACCCCTTTACTGTATTTCCCGGGCACCGTACTGAGCTCTTTAGAGGTATTATCACTGACTCCTCACAGCAGTTCTTCATGGTATATGGTGTCATCCTCGCTGTAAAGATGTCGGTTCATAGAGGTTAATGACTGCCCACACAGCCAGCGTGCAGCAGGGGCCGCGCTCTGCCACCAGCCTGGGGCAAGGCCAGCTGGCCACTCTGTTGGAGGCAGAGGCCAAAGGTGTTCACAAGTGGCCCCGAGGTTAGAGACCTCAGGAGATGTCCTCTTCCCGGCCCGTGGGCTCTTTCCCAGCAGTTCCGTGGCTGTTGGCAGCACTTCCTGGCCGCTCTCTGCTCTCTTACTTCTGTCTGTCTGTCTGTCCTCTCACCCAGGAGTGACAGACTGGGCCTGGAGTGTCATGTAAATGGGAAAAGGGCAAAGGTGTGAGTCCAATTGGTCTGTCTGTTACAAGACCTGTTTCTTCAGAGGCTCCGGTCCACCCTTCAGCAGGACCGAACGTGGGGCGTCGGCTGAGCCAGGGGGGGAGTTGAGTGGACAGAGACAGCAGCCTCCACCCCCTTTTCCAAGATCAGGGACAAGGACAGATGGCCTCCGCGGGCGGCTGACAATTCCAGGGCGTGTCTGACCTCACTTCACTTCATGTTGTCAGATGGGTCTGCAAGGGAGAGTAGCAGTGGTCTTCCTATTCGTTCATGCAGCACATCTTCCCGGCCGTTCGTGCTGGCTCTGGGGCTTTGTGAGCCCGTCCACCTGCCGTCAAGCGTGTGGGCGGCTGCCTCCAGCCTCCCTCGGTGCCTCTGGCTGTGGGTTAGGGGTTGGGTGCGAGGATAGTGGGGAAGGAAGTCTGTGTCCAGCTCCATCGGCTTTTCCACATGAAGAAACGGGCCCTCACCAACTTAGGTTCTTTGCCCAGAGCCGCCAGTTTCGTGAGCAGCTGGGTCTGAACGCAGCTCCCGGAGGCACCCCGTTTGCCCTCAGCCGCACCTGCCACTCACTGACTCTGCCTGTGTGTTTGTTTCCAGTTCTTCAAGGCCTTTTCCAAGAGTGGCCCTGGAGCGACGTTGGCAGGTGGGTGTCCAGGCCGCCGTTGGCCTGTGGGCGTTGGTGACGTCTTCCTCTCCTGCCTCCCTCTGTACCGGGGTTTCTGCTGGGACAAAAGCGCAGCCAGGTCTGCAGAGTGAGGAGTTCCCCGGCGGAAAGCCGCATTTGTGTTTTCCACCTGTCCTTCCAGCCCGGCTGGAAGGTGCCTTTGAGCAGAGAGGCTGGCAAGCCCTTCCATATTGGTCCATCCAGGGTCCTGGGAGCGGGGAGGGTCCCGTGTTCCCAGAATCTCCCTAAATGTCAGGGGTTGGCATCAGAAGTGCGGGCCTGACAGGAGGGACTCGGGTCTGAGGGAGGAGTCCCCTTGCGTAGCGCAGGGCTGTGAGTACAGAGCAGGCCTGACATGCTCTGCTCTTCCTGGGCCCTTTGTTTCTGGGGGTGAAGCTGACGGGGGCGCTGGATCCCCTCTGCTCTCCTCACGCCCCTCCCGTGTCTGTCTTCCTTCACAGTGGCTGGAGCTGACATGCAGACGCTGCGGGAGAGGCTCATTGACGCCCTGGAGACCCATGGAGCCACGTGGCCCCCTGCCTGTCCTCCACTGGAGCCGACCGGGTACTGGGGACGGGGCGGGCTCGGTGCCGTGTGGGCCAGGACCACAGGCCTAGAGGCGAGAGGGCGGTGGGGATCGCAGGGAGGGGACCCAGATTGGTTCTTCCTGGTGCCTGGAAAGTGAAGGTGATTGTTTTTTCTGAGCAGTGGCTGTGACTGGGGTGGGGTGAGACTCTGCTCCCTGTACTGCCGAGGGTCAGGCCTGGGGGCTGGTGGCCTGTATCTGCGTTCCAGGCAGGCTTCCAGGATTGCCCCTTTTCTAAGAAAATGAGGTGCTGAAAATGCACCACGAGGGATGTGAGAAAATGAGAGACAGAGACACGGTCATTGAGAAATGGAAGAAGTAAGGAGCAGGGTCCCGGCTTGGCATGGGTGCCTCCTGGGACCCAAACCACACCAAGACTACACGCTGGGTCCAGGGTGTCCGTGAGGCCCCCGGAGGAGGGGGACTTAGGGAAAATGAGGAGTCATGTGCGTTGGGTTTGTAGGTGCAGTTGTCAACCTACATGTGTTCCTCTCTGTGGCCAGTTAGGGCAACACCCCATGGAACACGGGGACCAGTGCTGGAGCCCTGCCCAGCGACAGCACAAACGGATGTGCCCGAGAGGCGGGGGCCAGAGCCGCACCTTTTTCCACCCGCTGACTGGGGTACACTCTGGCCCCCCCACTCTGGCATACCCGTTTGTGCTGTCGCTGGGCTGGGCGCCAGCGCTGGCCCCACGCTGTGCCTTCTGTTTTGAGGTGATCACCACATCACCAGTGGCGGGAACTAGGTTGGGGGTAACAGGAAGATGTAGCCCCCCTCCCCGTGCCATCTCACCTGCGGCCTCTTAGGCATGTGTGATGATGTTCTGCTCTTAAGTAGAGCTAGGAGACAAATCATTTTTGTTTGTGGCGTTTATTTTCGGTTGAACTTTGAGTTATGAAAATAATCGGTAGCTTATTTCTCCGATTTGGGGACATAATAAAATTTGCCACCTTATTAATTTCCGCCTATGCTCTGGGCCTCAGTTTCCTCGTCTTAAAGTAAGGAGGTTGGATTAGATAGCGTGTGCGGGCTCCCGTACCAAGGACTCTCTGGTTCTCCGGTTCCTTTCTTATGCTTCTCGAGGAGAGGAAGGGGCACATCCCCCTGTCGGTAGTGACTTGCCACCGACCCAGGCTTGTCTCTGATGGGTACTAATCTCCAGTCTCCTAGGGAACCAACAGAATCCATATTCACTAAGCCTGGGCCTTACCCAGAACATAGAGACAATGGTCTCCAGGTGTCCCTTCCCATCCTCCTCCCCAGACCACCCCTACTCCCTCCTGACTCTTAAAGAGACAGGATGGCAAAGCAAACCCGCCGGGTGGGTGAGATGAAGAGCCAGGGTTAGGTAAGGGGCACCGTCCTTTGAGACTAAGGGTTTGGTTTACCCCCCACACCCCTGGAGCGCAGGCGGGGGGTGACCTCCATGAAGCCTTGAGTAGAGGAGGTTGGTGTGGCTGTATTTGTCGCCCAGTGTCCGCTGGGTCACCAGCACTTCGGCTTCTTTCCCACCAGCTGTGGAGTGACTGCCGCCTTGTCTCTTGCAGGCTGGAGGAGATCGATGGGTTCTTTGCCAGAAACGACGAAGAGTGCCTGGCCCTGATCTTTGAAAAGAAAGGCTCCTACCTGGGTAGAGAGGTGAGCTGCCCTCAGGGTCCTTGTAACTCCTGGATAGCCCTTGGGGGAGAGCCCAATGAGTTCAGGAGCAGGGCTGTCCCCCAAATTCTTGGGTCTCATTCATGTCTCACTTATGAACCCAGCACGGGCCTGACCCCTGCTGGGAGAAACGGGAAGTGCAGCAGCTGGATCTTTCTGTTTTAAAACCTTTGTATATATTTTTCTTTTTCTTTTTTAATCGAAGTGTGATCGACATGCAGAAAAGAAAGGCTCCTACCTGGGTAGAGAGGTGAGCTGCCCTCAGGGTCCTTGTAACTCCTGGATAGCCCTTGGGGGAGAGCCCAATGAGTTCAGGAGCAGGGCTGTCCCCCAAATTCTTGGGTCTCATTCATGTCTCACTTATGAACCCAGCACGGGCCTGACCCCTGCTGGGAGAAACGGGAAGTGCAGCAGCTGGATCTTTCTGTTTTAAATCCTTTGTATATTTTTCTTTTTCTTTTTTAATCGAAGTGTGATCGACATGCAATATTATATTAGCTTCAAGTATACAACACAGTGAGTTGACATTTGTATACATTTTTAAATAATCACAATAAGTCTAGTTACCTCTGTCACCGTACCAAGTTAATACACTGTCACTGACCATCCTGTATGTCACGTGCCCTGCGTCTGTGTTTATCTCCTTCATCGAAACCAACCTCGATAAGACCTGCAGTTTATTGAGCGTTGGATTGGATGCTGGCACACAGAGTCGCTAATCTTCACGATTAACAATGGCGAGCATGTACCATGTCGAAGATCACACAGCCATCGACTGCAGCACAGGCTTTTTGAACCGGCTCTGCCTGCCTCCAGAGCCCGTGTCGTCTCCACACTGGCCCTCCTCTCATCCCCGTAGAATTGGAGTGAAATATATTGGGGGGGAGGGGGGTGGATAACATCAGAGATCACGCAGTCCTTCATGAGGAAGTGGGGTCCCTCACAGGGGAGGCAGTTACAGAACCAGGCAGGTTTGCAGTTCCACTCCATCACGTACATGATACGTCGTGATCAAGTTGCTCAGCTGTTCTGAGCCGCATTTCCCTGTCGGTGAAGCAGTGATAATTGCCTTTCTTCAGAGGATTGTTGGGAAAGTCAACTGAGGCAGTTTAGGAAAAGGGCCCGGATGCGTGGCTGGCACCGAGTGGGTGTGGGGTGAAGATCCAGTCCCCTGGCCTAATGCAGAGCTGTCCTTCCCGCCGCTGGCTCGTGGACTAGGCCACGTGCGGGTCCTCCAGACGCAAAGGTGGGACGGGCCAGTGCATGGGAGAGGTGCCAGGGCAGCGCCCGGGGACGGAAGAGATGTGAGGGGGGTGGGGCGCAGGTCAGCACCGCTGTTGGCTGTGAGTGGCTTTCCTCCTGACACTCATCAAGCTCAGCGAGAGCTCTGCGTTGTCTCCAGGCCCTTTGCCCTGAGAAGGGAAGCACGGGGAGCTGTGTGGAGACATGCCTGACCCTCCCGGGCTCCCAGTCCAGGCCGGGGGTCATGCCTGTCACATGCAAGTGATGGATAAATGTTCATTGGGATCAGCTCTTCTCCCTTTCCCCCAATTCCCCAGAGTAACCAGGAACAGGGCCCCTGCAGCCTGTCCATGGAGAGGTGCTCAGGGATGGGGATTCTTCTGAGCAGTGGCGGGGGGGGGGGCAGGCTTTGCAGCTCGATGGCGCTCCCTGGCTGTGTGACCTGGAAACACAGTTCACCTTTAAGCCTCCGTTTCTTCATCTACAATAGATTCTTTATTTATTTATTTTTAAATGAATGCTTACAGTACCTACTATTTGCTAGTCATTGTCATGAGCACGTTTATAAAATTAACCTATTCAATCCCCTAAAGCTGGTATTGTTGTTATAATTCTGCAAGTCAGGAAATTGAGTCAGGGAGAGGTTGAAGCCAGTGGGACCAGGGTTCCAATCCAGGCAGCCTGGTTTGCTGATCGTTCCTGTTGCATAGGGTTATTTTGAAGATTAAATGAAGCAGCCTATATACAGCACATAACACATGCTCAATAGATGTTAGCTAATATCCTTGTTCCCCTTCCTATTTCTTTCTAAAGATAAAACCATCATGACTGACTCGGTATGTTTTTCTGACTTGGAATATAGCTAGAAAACCTTATGAAAATAAGCGTAAAATGAGCCCACGTTCTGTTTTGCCTTTCACGAATTGCTTTCACTGGGAAGAAAATGATGTTAAATTGGGGCTGTCCTGGAAGATTCTGGATGTGTGGCACTCGCGGTTCCAGGCCCCTCCCTTGGGCAGTATTTGGCTCTTGTTACCTCTGGGGTGCATTTGGTTGGTGGCCGGAGACTTTGGCTCATCACAATAGTCTGTCATTTGAAAGGTGTAGAGTGGATGTCGCTGCCACCCAGGTGCGCGTCAGGGCTCCCTCTGCCCCGTAGCGTGGCCCCAGCTGTCTGACTGTCTCTGCAGGTGATTCTGGACCTGTCCCAGCGCGAAGGCATTGCGGTGCGCAGGGTCCTCAACACGGAGGGCGACGTGGTGAGCAAGTTTGGCGTCACCGACTTCCCGTCTTGCTACCTGCTGTTTCGGAACGGCTCTGCCTCCCGGGTTCCTGTGTGAGTGTGGTCTTTCCTCCCAGTCTCCTCCTTCCCTGTGCCCATCCCTTCTTCCTGCTCGGAGAGCCTGCCGGCCTTTCTCGGGGGCTGACAGTTCCTCCCCTGGGAACCTTCCGAGGAGCCCATGGCCAGGCCAGAAGCCGACGTCTGCCTGTGGGAGTGGGACCGTGTGGGGCCCAGAAGGCTGCCTTAGACCCTGGCCCAGGCGTCGGGCCGCAGGCCCCAGGCACGCCCAGCGTGGTGCTTCGGCACCGTCCCCACCGCAGCCCTGCCCCTGTCCTCCCGCCTCTGTCCAGACAGACGCGTTGGCAGGCTGCAGGCCTGGCAGACACTCAAGTATGCCTGACCCTCCCTCCCTTTGGTTTCCTAATTGCAGAAAAGTTCATTAGGAGCCAGACAATAGCCAGTTCCAAAATGCCAAGAGAAAACAATCAGGCCACCCTCAGCCCCTGTCAGGCTGCCGCTGCTGAATGGCCCGTTAAATGGCGCCAGATGGTGCCTCGGTGCCCTCCCTGGGCAGATGATTGATGTCGGCCTGGCCCTGCCAGCAGGAGCTCGAGGGCCAGGAGATCAAGGCTCGCTGGAGGTGCCCAGTGAGCTGTCCCTCTGGGCCATTAGTGCCACCCTGCGCTGAGGCTGGGCAGGGCGGCCACTTGCCCCGCTGGCCCGATCACCAGGCAGCCTGGGCCAGAGGGTGTCAGAGCGCTCTGATGAGGTGGGGGAGGGGACAGGAGGGACGCCTTCTCTGCACAGGCCCAGAAAGCTCCCGTACTGGCGGGGGGAGGGCATTGTTTCCTCACTGGGAGCTGGTGGAGGGGAAAATTGTTTGTGACGACGCTGCTTCCGAGCCATCTGCTCATTGATAAACATCGGGCCAGGTCGGCGGAGTGGAAAGCAATGCTTCCCGATGCCAGCTCCCCTAGGGTCCCCTCACACTGCCACTGTCCTCTCAGCCGCCCTCCCCGGGCCCGGGCCAGGGGACACCGCCTCCCCTGTGAGCCCCTCTCTATCAGGAGAGAGAGAAAAATCTAAAGGATCTGAGCATGTTCCTGGTTTATTTGTTGTTGCTTGTTTTTAAAAATCACCTCTGAAACTTCCGTGACTTCCTTGGGGAGCAGTGTCCCCTCTGGCTCCTCAGAGCAAGTGTGTGAGCAGCAGCTTCCTTGCGGTCAGCGCCACTTGGCACCTTTGGTCTCGGGAAGGTGTCGTCCTATCCCTGGGCAGGACCACTGGCCCGAGGTGCTCGGCCCACCGCCTCTCAGGGCAGGCGAGCTGCGTTTGCACATAGGATTTGTCATCAGCGTGAACAGTGAATAGGAAGGTGAAAGTGAGGCATAGGTGCCCGGCTTTGACCTCACTGTGGCTGAGACTGAACCGAGTTCAGCTATTTCTTGGTGAACATTCTGTCCCATGAGCCCCTGCCTCCGCTCCTGCCGTGAGTTGGCTCTGGGTTCTGTGTGTCTGTACTCACCGCCTCTCCTCCGTGGCGCTCTCTCCTCGCAGGCTTATGGAATCCAGGTCCTTCTATACCAATTACCTGCAGAGGTTCGCTGGGGCCACCCGGGAGGCTGCCCAGACCACGGTTCCGCCAATCACTGCGAATACGGTCGCTCCCACCGCGTGGAAAGTTGCAGACCGGTAAGGCCACTCCGTTTTCCTCACCCTTCCCCACCCCAGCCTTCCCTCTGCTCACAGACACCCCCTTCATACCACACCCTGTTCCTTGTCATGGGATGAGCACATGCCATCCTAGCCCCGACCCCCGTGGCCTTTGGGGGCTCCCAGGAGAGCCCTGGATGTGTGAGCAGCAGCATTTCCTTGTATCCTGCGATGGAATGAATACTTCCCAATACCCACATTTCTGAAGCTTAACTCTCTTTAAAAACAAGTAGAATCGGCTTGGAAAGATCGTCCTTGCCCTCCAAACCAGCCCTCCACCCAGGCAGTGGTTTCTTCGGCAAGCCGCAGGCCGACGCCCTATCCACTGAGCCAAACCGGTCAGGGCAGCAAGTTGTTTTGAGGGCTGCTGCGTGCGAGGCAGTGTGACTGCAGATGTACTGGCAGCTGGAGTCCGGCCCACGCAGTCCCTCCCCAGCTTCCTTCTAGGAAGGCACCAACTTCACTTGAATGTTCTGGTGTCGGGAGCTCACTACTTTAAAAAAAAAAGATTTTTAAATTGACTTTTAGAAAGAGAGGAAGGGAGAGGGAGAGGGAGAGAAACATCAATGTGAGAGAGAAATTGATTGGCTGCCTCCTGCACGCCCTCCCACCGAGGATTAAGCCTGCAACCGAGAATCAAACCCGCAACCTTTCGGTGCACAGATGACGCCCAGCCACCTGAGCCACACGGCCAGGCGGGGAGCTCACTGCACGTGGCGGTGGCCTGTGTCTTTGCGCACAGGTGTAAGCAGGAGAAAGCTACTCTTCTCTCTGCACCCCAGAGGTAACAAGAGCCAAATACTGCCCAAGGGAGGGGCCTGGAACCGCGAGTGCCACACATCCAGAATCTTCCAGGACAGCCCCAATTTAACATCATTTTCTTCCCAGTGAAAGCAATTCGTGAAAGGCAAAACAGAACGTGGGCTCATTTTACGCTTATTTTCATAAGGTTTTCTAGCTATATTCCAAGTCAGAAAAACATACCGAGTCAGTCACGATGGTTTTATTTTTAGAAAGACTCCGCTCTTGTGGTAGAATTCCTGCTTTGGGGGCAGGGGGACAAGCTGTCAACCTCTTGTGCCGACACCCAGCGGCAAACCAAGCGCATTAGGAAGGGGGCTGCGTGAGGGAACGGGGGAAAGGCCATCTGACTTGCAGGAGGAATTGGCACCCCAGCCTCGGGGACTTCAAGGGTGGAAAGTGCCGACGGAGAGGATTTTAGTAAATCGGGAGAAGGAAAGAGACACGAACAGGTGGGAATGGTCGTCATGACGTCCACATTGTGATTACTCAGCATGGGGTGGGCCTAGGTGGCACTCACTGGCCTCGTGTGCCAGGCTCTGTGCCCGGCACCGTCCGTGCATTCTCCCTCTCAGTCATGAGGCCGCTCCTCAGGCAGAACGTAAGGCTGGAGAGGTAAACTGAGGCAGGGACACCACGTGGAGCAGACAGGAGACTCCACGAGAGTCAGGTGCAGGTGGTCACAGTGCCCCCCGCGCCCCCCACCCCCCGTGAGCTGACCTTGTTGGCTCCTTACAACCCTAGGGGGTGGGGTGACCCTGAGGCCCAAGGGGTAGCTCCCTGTAGAACTGAGGCCAGGACTCAGGTCTCAGGAGGCGGCTGGAGAAGCAGCCAGCACTCGAGGAGCCCTGCCCGTCAGCACCCTGAGCCCAGACCCCAGTGAGTGTCTGGGCCCCAGGGTAGAGCAACCAGCTTGGAGCCTGCAGCCTCCCCGGCTGGGTCAGCCAGGAGATGTGAATGGAGCCCTGCCCGCCCCGCCGTGCCCAGCCCTTTCAGAGCCACATTGTGTGGGACTGTCTATCTGTCCCTCAGGGTCTTTGTTCAGAACTGAGAATAAAACTCTACCTTCCTCTAGTGGCCGGGGTGAGATGCCTTTAGTGAGTCATGGGAGGGCTGGCCCTGGGCCGCAGAGGGGAACCCCTGCTCCATGCCCGGAGCTGCTGGGGGTACATATTTGTGTTTTTATTTCATCCCCGCAGCTGCCTACCTGTGAGCAGTTTATTATCCCATCGTACAGATGAGGAATTGAGGCTCACAGACATTAAATAAAACACCCAAGGCCACAGTTACTGGCAGAGGCCAGAGCCAGCTTACAGGACTCTGGGACCATCAGTGGTGGCCTTCCTGTCTCTCCCTTTAGCCCTGGGCCTCCTCCCCGCCAGCCCCGTGGCTAACACCCCTTTCTCTCTCTGCCCGCCCTGGGTCCTCAGCTCCAAGATCTACATGGCTGACCTGGAATCCGCACTGCACTACATCCTGCGGGTGGAAGTGGGCAAGTTTTCCCTCCTGGAGGGGCAGCGCCTGGTGGCCCTGAAAAAGTTTGTGGCAGTCCTGGCGCAGGTGAGCGGGCCCTGGCCGACATCTGTGCAGCTCCCCGAGGGTCAGTGCGCACGCAGCCCGGCCCCTCCCTCGGGAGCGCATGGTCTGGCTGGACATCTGACCCCACGGCTGTTCTAGGCCACCATGGGCTGCTGCCCTGCAGCCTCAGCCATGCCCGCCAGCCCGCACTGCCAGGGACAGCCCTGTGCAGGGGCAGGGGCGTGGGTGGGACGGGCCAGATGTCCAGGGATTTCCCAGCGGCTTCAGGTGTAACCCTGGAGCGTGGCCTCACTGCCTGCCATGGTCACTGGGAAGCGGGACCCGTGGGCGCCGCAGTGAGGGAATGAAGCCTCCTCTGAATCGCCTGTGCCCTCCCAGACACTGAGCAGAGCCAGACCCAGGTGCCAAGCCCTAGCCGGGCCTTCTTCCTGCCCACGAGGCCACTCCCTGAGATGTAGCTGCTACAAACGGAGGACCTGATGTGTGCCAGGCACACGTGGCTGCAGGGTGGAGAGTGTCGCTCCCAGCTAAGGGGCCCAGGATGCTCAGGAGCCTTGCCCGAGGCCTCCCCACCTCCCGGGCAGGAGGAGGTGTGACGGGATGTGAACTGAGCAGTCGGGCTCCAGAGCCTGTGCCTTCTGCCATGCTCCTTGCTCCTCTGCAGGTGGGATGTGGGCTGCCTCTTCCCTCTGCACCTGCCTGCTGCTCCCTCCCTGTGTCCTCTCTGGTTCCGTATCTGCCATGTGCCCTACTTCAACCCCTGGCTCTGGCCGCTGAGGGCTGCTGAGTCAGATCCGCGCTCCAGTCCCCTTCAGAGCCTGACCGCTGACTCAGCACCCTCAGCCCTGGGCGCCAGGTCTGAGCTTCTGGGGGCAGGTCTGCGGGCAGCCGGGGCTGTCACCTCTGGGAGTGACTGCACCTCTCCCTCGGGAACTGCCTGCCGGTCTGGTCCCTCTGCCCACCTGGCCGGCCTGGCCTTCCGCTCCCTGGGCTTAGTCGCGCCCATGTGATTACACGGAGGGCCCGTGAGGTCACCAGGGCTTATCACAGTGCTGTTACCGTCCCAGGGAAGACAACCCTTGGCCCTGCCTGAGGTCCCCCCAACGCGGAGCCCTGTTCTCCAGCCCATTCTGATAAGAGAGGCCTTTCCTCCGAGGCCCTGTGAGCTGCTGGGTCCCCAAGTCGCTGAGGCCTGGGGTGGCTGGCCCAGAGAGTCAGGCAGAACGTCCTGGGTGGCTCTGTGTGCTGCCCACCTGACACCCAGGGTGCTTCGCAGGCGTCGCTCAGAAAGAGAAGAGCACCCCTCACCCCAGCCTGGTCTTCCACAAAGGACCGACCAGGGAAATTATGTCTTGTTTGGCCCCAGGGGGACTGCTTGCAGCCAGAGGGGAAGAATGGGTCCCAGGAAATGCTGGAGCCGGGCAGAGGCTTAAACAGCACCCTCTCGATGGCACGGGCTGAGCCCCCGCCCTCAGCAGGAGCTGGGAATGAGTTTGGGATCAAGGACGCCCCCCCCCACCCCGAAGCCAGGGCTCAGAGAGGACAGGGCTGGCCTTGGCACAGAGGGGAGCCCGGCTGAGCTGGCCCACATCCCCTGGAGACATCCCTGGAGACTGCAGAGTATTTTGGTCCTGCACTTCTGTGGGCAGCTTCATCCTGCGCAGTGATGATAGCAGCAGCTACCGTTTCGTGAGCTCGGACAGGGTGCCCGTCTCTGCGAAGTGCTCTTTGTGTATTAGCTCCTTTGTAATTCTCATAGCAAACCACAGGGTGGGGATCCCATCTCAGGGAGGGGAGGAAGGCCCAGGGAGGAAAACACCCTGTCCCAGGCCCTCCAGCCAGTGGGCGGCCGAGCTGAGACTTGCACCCACATGTCATCCAACCCAAGCCCTCACCCCCCACGTGCATGGGGCACCGAGAGCATGGAGGGCCGCAGTGCTCCCTCTGCCTCAGCCCCGCTGTGCCTGGTGGGAGGCACTCTTATCGCCCCTGCCCCTGCCCCTGCCCCTGCCCGCCTGAGCTGGGGCGATCCCTGCTCTCTCACATGAGTGTCTGGCAGGATTGGCCACTGGGTGGCGTGTGGTCACCAGGGTTTCCCTGCTCTCAGCAGAGAGGGTGCCTCCCTGTCGCCCAGAGCCCCTTAATTCATCCTCCCTCCTGACACCCTGGCCTTAGCGGGCGGAAGGTTCCAAGTCCGGATGTCGGGCAAAGGTCAGGGAGGGATGCTGACTTGAAGCTGTAAATCTGTGCTGAGAGCCAGAGCTTGTGTGAGCTGAGCGAGAGGCAGCGTGTCCGAGCCCAGGGTTCTTCCCGGTTCTCCTCCCTCGGGGGACGTGTCCGACCAGGAGGGCTGATAAGATTAGGGAATGGTTTTCCCAGAAGACTGGCCGGTTGGCAGGTTTTTCTGTTTATGATCCTTCCGATCTCCAGAACCTTTCCTCTCTCACATGGTCCTCTTTGCTCGAATTGTCCTCTGCGGGCTTCCCGGTGTCGTCGTCCTGACCTGCTCAGCTGTGCCCCTCACTCCTGCCCCGGCCCCCGTGCATTTGTGCACAGGCACTCGCACGCACACACATATCTGTCCTCCTCCCCGGGGTCCCTGTGGCTTTAAAGCGCTGATACTAATCAGATTTGAGCTGACTTTTTGTCAGAGCAGCTTTTCGTGTTCCTCAGAGACTACTGGGAGTTGCCATCAAGATTGGGATCTTGGCTATGAGCCCGTGGGCGGCCTCGGCCTCACTGGCAGTGTGGAATACAGATGAAAGGCTGTTTGCCAGCCTCGCCCGGCCGGTCGGTCAGTCAGCCAGTCAGCTGCCCTGTGCAAGGTCCCCAGGGTCCCAGCAGCCCTCTGCCCCGTGGCAGCGTGCGGTCGGGGGTCCACACAGGAGCCCCAGCCTCGGGAGGAGGCGGCCTTCAGGGCGCAGCCCCACTTCCAGCCTGTCTCCTCCCCCCACCCTTCCTCCTCCCCTCACCAGGTGCCCAGAGCCAGGGTGGTGAGGAGCCACATCTGTGTCTTAGGCAGAATGTTTTCCCGCCTTGGCCCACTTTGCCCCCCACCCCGGGGCTGGGGGCCCCTGGGGGATGGTGTCTCACCTCCGTCTTGCACTTGTTTCTCCCCTAGTACTTCCCCGGCCAGCCCTTGGTCCAGAACTTCCTGCACTCCGTCAACGACTGGCTCCAGAAGCAGCAGAGGAAGAAAATTCCCTACGGTTTCTTTCAGACTGCCCTGGAAAACAGGAAGGAGGTGAGTCGGGGCAGCAGTGGAAGATCCTCTCCCATCTCTGTGACTGTGGGAGTGGAGGGGTAGCGCTGACCTCTGACCTCTACCATTTGCATTCAGGAAGGAATCAGTGACCTTGGTTGGGTCTTCCCATTGATCATTAGTAAGTTACTATCGAGCTCTTTACATGCATATCTTAACCCCCCAACATTAATTGAAGGTGGGTATTATCCCCATTTAGCAGATGAAGAAACTGAGGCGAAGTCACTCGTCTAAGCCCATACATGGTTGGGTTGGGATTTAAAAGCGATTGGGAGACACTGGTTGTGACCATTTTTAACAGCTGCCCCCTGTGGCCTCCAAGCTCCCGGGGGGCGCCGCTCACGCCGCTGTTTGTGAAGGTGGGCCAGGGCAGCCAGCAGAGGGCAAAGCCATACAGACTTGGAGGATGTCAAGGCTGGACAGTAAACCTCCATGACCAGCCCCTCGTTTTACAGATGGAGAAGTTGAAACTAGAATAAGCATTCGACTTGATCTGCGTCACAGCTTTTCAGCTCTGATGCTCCTTTGGGGGGTGTGGCCAGAGGAAGGGAAATGCCACCCTCGAGGTGGTGGCCTGAGAGAGGGAGCTCATTTGTCGTAGGGCTGTGAGCAGACCTTCTGGTCTCCTGGAAGCTTCCCTTCCCATCTCCATCCTTTCTCTTCTCCGTGTGTGCACTCACATTCATCTGTGTCCCTTAGGGCGTTGTGATTGCCAAGAAGGTGAACTGGGTCGGCTGCCAGGGGAGCGAGCCACATTTTCGGGGCTTTCCCTGCTCCCTGTGGGTCCTCTTCCACTTCCTGACCGTGCAGGCAACACGGCAAAATGTCGATCGTTCTCAAGAAACAGGTGAGTTCGGGGCCTGTGCACCCCCAGGCCTCAGCCTGGCCCTGTCCTGCCTCCACTGGCTCCCCGCTGCAGGCCCCTCTTTAGGGGATTCTGATACAACCAGCATGGGACCATGGGGGGACCTGGAGGAGCCACCCCGTCCTGCCCCTGCTCTGGGATGGTGCCCCACAAACTCGGGCCTCAGGCTTCTCCCTGGCTTCCGTGGAGCCATAAGCTTGCTTCGTTTTCAGTCTTCGTGAAAAACGAGTGGTTCCATCTTCTATACTCCTATAAAGAAAAGAACTGCGTCTGTTTCACAGTTTACATGGCTGATACCGTGTGCTTTGAACAGTTTTTTTGCTTCCCACTGAAAAGTCATTTCCTAGGGGAAGCTGGGGGACACCTCGCCCCTCCCGTCCTGATCCCTCCCCAAACTGTGCAGCTGCAGCTGCGCTCCACGGCCCGCCTGCCTCACCCCTCCGCCTAGCGACCAAAAGGGTGGCTAAGTCCAGTCCAGTCCACGTTTACCGGGGACCAGGGTTATGTCAGGCCCTGGCTCAGCCTGGAGGAGGCGGAGGTGGAAAAGAGACAGTCCCTGCTCTGGGTGGACGGTGGGACAGGTGGGAGGTGGAGTGGGCCAGGGCCAGGAGCCAAGCAGGGGGGGCGAGAAGGATGTTCGGAGAGAAAGGAGGTGCTCCCCCTGTCGGGAAGGGTAAGTGGGGTGAGTTGTGTTAACCTAAAAATAACAGGCCAAAGGGAGCGGCAACAAGCACTTATTTGAGATTTTTTAAAAAGGATGAAAAGAATACCTATTTGGGAAGCACTGATTCGGGTAGAAACCCAAGTATGTGCTGATTAGGGAGCATTTTTGAGGACGGGAAGGGGAACAGTTACATCCGTGAAGGAGGCATTTCTGTTGGTGCAGATCAGCCAACATAGAGATGCTAATTCTAAAGAAGCTTTTTAATTTCCAGTCTGGGAGCCATCGGCACAGTAGTCATGTCTTTGCTTTGTTTTTTTGTCATATTTGCAAGCAGTTCCTTGAGACATAATGTTGCTTTAAGCCCATTCCAGAGATTTGAGGCCTAAGACGGGCACGGCAGCTCCTCTGGGATGGCAGCTCCAACTCCATTTTCCAGTGGCTCCATTGATACTGTGTTTACAGAAGAGCAGGAGTTGAGCTAGGAAGGAAGAGCATCCCCTCCCCAACAGAGACAGAGGGGACTAGGGGAGCTGCCGGGCGTGGGGACAGCCAGCCATCACTGTCAGCCAGTGTTTACGGACTGTCTCCCACGTGCCGGGCCCTGCCACAGCGCTGGGCACAGCGGTACGAGGTGGAAGTCCCTGTCCCAAGGGGACAGTATTCAGGTGGGAGTAAACGACAGTAAACACACAATAGACCATTCCGTTATGAGTGCTGTGAAGAGGACAGAACCAAGTGGGGTGCAAGAGGGCCCAGGGAGGGGCTGCTGTGTTTAGAGGGGGCTGGGGGAGGCTGTTCTGGGGAGATGACCTGTGCTGAGACCTGCATGGGGGCAGGAAGCAGCTGTGAGACACCTGGGAAGAGAGCCTTCTAGACCGAATTGGTTTGCTAGGCCGCCATGACCAAGTGCCACACACGGGGCGGAGCGGGGATAGGGGGGCGCTTAACCAACAGAAGTTTATTGCTCACAGTTCTGGAGGCTGGAAGTCCAAGGTGAAGATGTTGGCAGGGTCGGTTTCTGCTGAGGCCTCTTCTGGGTTTGCAGGTGGCCATCCCCTCCCTGTGTCTTCACTGTGTGCGTGGCTGCGTCCAGGTTTCCTCTCTTACAAGGACACCAGTCAGGACACAACACACCCTAATGATCTCATTTAACATAATCACCTCTTTAAAGACCCTGTGTCCAGATAGAGCCACGGGGTTAGGACGGGAGTTAGGACTTCAGCACAGGGGTTTTAGTCAGCCTGTCACACCGGCCGAGGACTAGGGTGCAGAGCACAAGTCTGGCATGTAGGGAGGCCAGAGGGCGGCCAGTGTGGTGCAGCCTGCAGGGAGAGGCAGGACAGGAGGTGGGCGCGGGGTTTGGACCGGTTTAGCATTTCGAGAACCCTTGGCGAGTGTAAGCAGGGCACGACGCGAATGATCAATGCCTGAGAAGGATTCCCGGGTGGAGGGTGGGCTGCAGTGGGGGAGGTGGCGGCAGGGCAGCCGATTCCGAAGCTGTGGCTCTGGTTAGTCCAGGAGAGGCGGTGGAGGCCCAGACCAGAGCTGGAGGTGTGCACGTGGAGGAAGTGGGTCGGACTTGGGGATATATTGGAGGTGGAGCTGATGGGACTCAGAGATGGATTGGGTGAAGCATATGCATGATCTAGGACTCAGGGTGGACCCCGGAGTTGTTGGACCTGAACATGTGGCAGATGATGGTCCTGTGAGCCAAGAAATGGGAAGACTGGAGGCGGGGGTGGGGAATGGGGAGTGGACGCGGAGGGAGGGGCAGGGAAGTGCCCATGAGACATCTGAATGGAGAGGTAGACAGTTGAGTCTGGGGTTCTGGGGAGAGGTCCAGGATGGAGATGCACATCTCGTGGTCATTAGCACACAGGGGACAGTTAAAGCTGAGGACTGGGTGAGCCCATGGTGGGTGGGCAGAGAAGAGGGCGGAGGCCTGAGCTCTGGGCTCTGCAGCATCTGGGCCTCGGCTCGCAGAGCAGGGCCAGCAAAGGAGACGAAGAAGGAGCAGCCCCTGAGGTCTCAAGAGGGCGTCCCCAATAGAGCGATTCAAGGAGACATAGCCGAGTGGGTGCCCTGTGCCGCTGGGCTGGGGACCTTTCTGGCAGGAGTTGTCTGTGGTTTAGTGGTGAGAAGGGCCTGGTTGGATTGAGCTGGAGAAGACGAAGAGCAGGGGAGAAACTGGAGATAATAGGGGAGTCACTGGGGTGTAACGGGTCAGAGAAGGGATTTCGTCACTGAAGTTGGAATGATGTCATATTAAGGGAGAAGGTGATGATGCAATAACAAAATAAGATATTTGCAGGAGTAAAATCTTAAAGGAGGTGAGAAGGGAGGAGGTCCGGAGACTGGCAGGCGGAGGAGGTGAAGGCTGCTGCAGCGCAGGTAGAGGGTGGTGGGCGACTGGGGTGGATGCAGGAGGAGGAGAGCGGCAAGGCATGGCTGGGTGTGGGTGCTGAAGCTGCCAGGAACATGGCCTGGCCGTGGGGGTCAGCGTGCTGATGACCCAGTGGATGGAGGGGTGAGACTAGATGCCTTTTGAAGGGCTGGGGGTTTTGCAGCAGGAAGGAGCAGCCTGAGGCCACTTCCCTGCCTCCAGCCCGGTATATGGA